GTATGTATTAGTTGGCCCGATTAATTTTTTCTTTTATAGTAGGACGGGGTCTTGCTCTTGTCAGGCTGGTTTCAAACTCCTGACCTTGAGCAATCCGCCTGCCTTGGACTCCCAGAGTGCTAGGATTACAGGCATGAGCAACCATGCCCGGCCGATCTTATAATTTCTTAAGGGCTGAAAATCCAGATTTTCATGTAAAATAATTCTTTAAAAAAATTTTTTCAGTGGCAACTTGGACCAAGTTTTTTAAAACTTGGTTTTAAAAAACATAGAGCAGGTCTCCCTGCCATGAACCTGTGGTTCTGAATGGGCAGGGCAGCCTCTGGGAGCTCTGCTGGCCTCTCCTCCATCCTCCCTGCACCTAGGAGGCTTGGTTCTAGTCCTAGTTTCCTTTTAATGTCCTTTATAACAAACCTGCCTGGCCTGGCTCTGTCTTTTGGAATGAACTATGCTAGTGATTTAGAAGAACTGAAGGAGAGTGCTGGCTCTCAGGTGTCACCTACACCTGTACTAGCCCGAAGGCAAGTGTCCTTGCTTACAATGCTGGCACCGTCTGGTCCCCAGCCCAGTTTTTCAGTCAGAGCCAGTGGAGAGTCTGGCTCTGTAAAGTGACCAGGAGGTGGCAACCCAGTGACATTAGGTTACCCAAGTCTCAGGTCTTTAGCTGTGAAAGGGGATTTGGTGAGGACTCTAGGTGAGACTGTTTATAAAGACTGCGGGCTGGTGCGGTGGCTCACTCCTGTAATCCTAACACTCTGGAGGCCGAGGGGTGAGATTGCTCGAGGTCAGGTGTTCGAAACCAGCCTGAGCAAGAGCGAGACCCCGTCTCTATATAAATGAAAGAAATTAATTGGCCAACTATATATATAGAAAAAATTAGCGGGCATGTGGCACTACCTGTAGTCCCAGCTACTGTGCGGAGGCTGAGGCAGAGGATTGCTTGAGCCCAGGAGTTTGAGGTTGCTGTGAGCTAGGCTGACGCCACGGCACTCACTCTAGCCTGGGCAACAAAGCGAGACTCTGTCTCAAAAAAAAAAGAGACCGCATGTGCTGGCACATGGCAAATGGTAACGTAGAGCCTTGGCCTGGGAGACTGCTGTCTCCCAGGGGCTTTCTGCCAGTTATCTTCCTCATCCTTCAGACCAGAGGAAGCGAGTGTAGCAGATTTGATTTTACAGATTAGGAGACCAGGTCTCCAGGAGGTGAAGGTGCATGTGCAGGGGGTGTTCACAGCAAAGCAGGCTCTGGGCCGGTCTCTGATGCCAGCACCTTCGCTACTGACAGACTTGTAGGTTTGTACGGACAGAAGTTAGGCTCTTCTGGTCTAGTGGGTTTACAGTCTTCTGACTGGTACAATTCAAAAATCCTGAGGTTTTAAAAAGCACAGATGTTATCAGACAATTCTGGAATGTCTTAACGTGGGCTGGGAATGTGAGGATTCCAAGCATATTGATTGTCAAAGGCAGGTCAGGATTGAGAGACCACTGTTCTGAAAACTGAAAAGCTAGGGATGCAACACAAGTGACCCAGGTGAATTTGCACAAGACATTTCTTTCCATTCCAAGATGGCCCATGACCACATGTTTGCAAACTAGACACTATAGTATACCATATCTACAAATAGTTGCTGTCTGTCAGAAGAAGATCAGTATACAGTTACTAATATAGCCCAAGCTGCATAATCCACGCTGACATGCCTCTGTATGAATCAAAGATACAGATAACAAGAAAAGCGATCAAAATATATTTATTAACTCTTAAGTTATATATTGTTAGGTGTGACATGGAGCCTTTCAGAAATGGAAAGACCAAAGACACATGGGAAAACCGTGTATTTTTAAAGTGGAAACCAGTTGTGCAGAACGTATGTAGAGGACATAAGATGTGTAGATCAATGGTCAAAACGGCAAGCGCGAGCCCCGTGTTCAGATCCCCGCTCGCCGGCCGACTGCGGACCTGAGGGGCATAAGTCAGTCGGCTCCGGTATTCATGGAGGATGCTCATCATATTCACTGCGAGCTATCGCATACAGCGTCCCACCAGTCCGCGCCCGGTGTTGTCATTCGTGGGGACGGGACAGCCGGCTACGCGCAGGTGAAGTGAACTGTCCAGTATCACACGACTGCATAGAGGGCCAAGTTCTGGTGTGTTGATCATGGTTTAACTAGAGGCAAGATAGACCTCGCCGCACAGATCGCGTACCTGCCGCGATGCGTCGAGCGCGCTCTCCCACACCATCTCTCTCATATAGAAAAAAATTAGCCGGACATGGTGGCACATGCCTAAAAAAATTAAAAAAGAAATTATAAGATCTGGCCATATAAGGCCCACATTTCTGAGGGGCAGCCAGCAGTTCCAGCTGAGTAGGGGCCGTAGCTTTAGTTTTAACTTTTTAAGTGAGTCATTCATAGGCCCTACCTGCTGGGCCGCAGTCAGCATTTGGGTTCTTGACCCCTAGGCCGGCCTTGGAGGCTGCCTCAAGAATCTTGGATGAGATCCAAAGTGCAATGAGAAGACATGGAAAGGTTTCCAGCCGAGGAGAAACGCCCTTGTCAGGCTGCTCTGACTGAGCGGGGAGAAACACGCTGCAGCTGGGGGTGGGGACGGATGTGAGTGGACCAGGAAGGAAGGAGTTCAGGGTGGGGGGTGTTAGGACTGCAGCCTGGGAATCTTGAGGGGCACAATCTAGCCCATAACAGTGAGTATATGAAAAAGCAGGGTAAGAAAATGGAATGACTTGGGGGGGAAGGGGGTAGATAGGGAGGTGGGGGAGCTATTTTAAACAGACTGCCAGGGAGGGGACACTTGGGCTGAAACTTAAATAAATTGAAGGGAAGGGTACCAAGAAATGTATGGGGGCCGGGCGAGGTGGCTCACACCTGTAATCCTAGCTCTCTGGGAGGCCAAGGCAGGTGGATTGCTTGAGGTCAGGAGTTCAAAACCAGCCTGAGCAAGAGCGAGACCTCATCTCTACTATAAATAGAAAGAAATTAATTGGCCAACTCAGATATATAGAAAAAATTAGCCGGGCGTGGTGGTGCTTGCCTGTAGTCCCAGTTACTTGGGAGGCTGAGGCAGTAGGATTGCTTGAGCCCAGGAGTTTGAGGTTGCTGTGAGCTAGGCTGACGCCACGGCACTCACTCTAGCCTGGGCAACAAAGAGAGACTCTGTCTCCAAAAAAAAAAAAAAATTGATTAACAGTGTCTCTATAGGGCAGGTCATTTTTGCCTGGCTCCAGGAGACCTGTGAACCTCCTCATTTCCACCGGAGCCAACTCTCTACACTGTAACCCACTCTATGGGGCAAAATCTCCATGGCCCTGTGTCCATTTTCTTTCTTTTTTTTTTTTTTTTTTTTTTTTTTGAGACAGGGTCTCATGTTGTTGCCTTGCTCACAGCAACCTCAAACTCCTGGGCTCAAGCAATCCTCCTGTCTCAGGAGGATTCAATTAATTTCTTTCTATTTATAGTAGAGACAGGGTCTCACTCTTGCTCAGGCTGGTTTTGAACTCCTGACCTCGATCCGCCTGCCTCCACCTCCCAGAGTGCTCCCGTGTCCATTTTCTATTGGACAAAAAATTTAGTGACATTGATGGAGAGTAACTGGACAATTGTAACCCTCATGAACTTGGAGTTCCATTTGGGTTTAGCCTTGGAGAGACGTCACATTAAAGACACACAGTGCTATGGCCAAAAGTATTACAAAAAGGAATTGTATTCCCCCCTCACGTCTTCCAAGACATTAACAGATATTCGCAAGCAATATTTATTAAAAGGCCCTGTCCCCATGAGGAACCACTGAATGACATATACGTATATCGAAACGTGACATTGTACACTTTAAATATACCTGGACGCCAGCAAAGGTGCATGCTGGAGGACGCCGTCAGAATCGGTTACTCTTTCCTGCTCTCTGCTACTTTCGGTGAGGGCTTCCCTCTCTCCACGTGGCGGCAAAGGGCGCTGGCACAGTTCCAAGAAAGCAGTGTCGCTGACAGTTTCAGCAGCGGGAGGTAGGAAGTGAATCCTGATTGGCCCGGTTTAGGTCATATGCCCAGCCCTGACCGATCACAGTGGCCAGTTAAATGGAGCCCTCTGATTGCCTAGACCTGGGGCACATGTTCACATCAAAAATTGAGAGACCCAGATCTGGACTGGAGGCGCCAGAGGCAATGGCAAAGGCATGCTCTGCAGGTAAAACCATAGCCGTCCACTCCATGGCTCCCTCCCTGCCTCCTGTTCCATTCTCCACGTCACAAAAGTCCAGGGAAACTATTGGGCAAAGACAGAGTCTCCTCCAAGGGCCTCAGTTGCTGAGCAGCAGACACTGAATGCTCTTTCTTTTAAGGGGGAGGGGCGCCGTAAGCACGTATATTAATTATTTAGCCACATAAATTAACTCGGGGCATTCTGGATATATTTGGGGGGAGATCCTAAATAATTCATATTTGAATCATAATGCATACATATTCTGATGGCAGATGATTGGAAAATTATACATCAGAAATACTGTTCATGCAAATATGCATCTTTACACTGCATGAAGAAGGAACCACAGCATAATTAATAATAATGAAGGCAAAGGAACTGTCATTTTAATTCTGAATTAAATTCTGTTTGCTTATAATGCATTAAAAGTAAGTTTATGATTTAAAGTTGATATACTTTAAATCATGCACATATATATAATTATTTTACATAAAACCATAAAGGTAAGCATATCATATATATTGAAGGGGATTTCCTTCTCTAGAGAAATCTCTTTGGTTTTCTCTTTCTTTTTTCTTTTTAAGACAGAGTCTCACTGTGTTGCCTGGGCTAGAGTGCCGTGGTGTCAGCCTAGCTCACAGCAACCCCAAACTCCTGGCCTAAAGCAATCCTTCTGCCTCAGCCTCCCGAGTAGCTGGAACTACAGGCATGCGCCACCATGCCCAGCCAATTTTTTCTATATATATTTTTTAGTTGGCAAATTAGTTTCTTTCTATTTTTAGTGGAAACGGGGTCTCGCTCTTGCTCAGGCTGGTTTCAAACTCCTGACCTTGAGTGATCCTCCCACCTTGGCCTTCCAGAGTGCTAGGATTACAGGCGTGAACCACCGCGCCCGGTCTCTCTTTCTTTGTTCTATTAGCTTCTGTCTCTTCTTTCCTTCCTTTCCTCTCCCTTCCACACTTCTGGTTTATATACTCCCAAGCCTATGTAATTTTATACACATACACATATGTATTTGGATACAATACATATAGATATGCAATTATACATATGCAAATGTACATATATATACACCGAATACCCAGGGGTTTATTTAAACAGAATCATGTTATCCTCATTTTTCTGCACCCTGCTTTTCTTTTAACAGTATCACATCAAAATCTCCCCATCCCACCTGGCAGAGAGAGAGCATTTTAGTGGCTGTGCAGTATCCTGCAGTGTGATGACACCATGATCTATTCAGGCACTTCCTATGGATGGATATTTGTTTGCCATTTTTGCCATGGTGAACAATATTGCATAAATCTTCTTGCACACATATTCTTACATATTGGTTCCTAAGAGTGGAACCTGTGTTGCCCATAGGTGGTAACGATAAGGTACAAGGATTCACAAGGTACAAGGTACAAGTAATTCACGTAGTGAATTACTATTAATATTAACTTGGCTGTGGATATGCAAAGACATGAAAAGAGGTATGGCAGTGCCCATCATTCAGTTGCAAGAATGGAAAGGACAAGAGATTTCAATATTCTAGAACATTATGGCTTCTCTGATCTTTCTTGTGACAGATACCACTACTGGCTAAGCCAACTGCTGTCCCCAACCTCTGATTCTCTTCCTCCTCTCATTTTAGAAGCTGGAAAATGGCACATTTGTTTTCCCAAGATCCTTTGCTGCTGTGGTTGCCAACTATGCTGTTGGATTTCCTTGAGATGTTTGCTTTCTTGATAAAAAAAGGTAGACACAACTGGTCCAGCCCATTTCCTGCCTCTTCGTGCCTTCAATACTGACGTGATGCCTGGAGCTGCAGCAGCATCTTGCCACACCATGAGGACAAGGCCAAGATGATCACAAAGTAGCCAGCTCTGGCATCATCCCACCCAGGACACCAGCTACCTACCTCCAGATTCCTTGTTTTGGGAGAAAACGTAGCCACACTTAATCAGGTTTTCTGCTGTTTACAGCCCCAGACGTTCCGAACAGATTCATTTTTTATGCTACTTAGAGATGCAACAGTAACATGCCATAATTATATTTATGATTTCCTTTTGCTTGGTAATTCAAAAGCCCATTCCCCAAAGTGAAATATTTTTTTATTACCTCAACTCCTCAATCCCCAAAGTGAAACCTTAATAGGCTCTTTGAGAGTTGGTACCGCCAAGATTTCTCTTTTAATGAATTGGGAATTCAAGGCTTAAAAATAGATATAAAAACAAATCACATAAAAAAAAAAAATCACAGAGCTGGCACAGTGACTTGCACCTGTAGTCCCAGCTACCCAGGAGGCTGAGGAAGGAGGATCACTTGAGCCCAGGAGTTTGAGCCGGCAATGAGCTGTGATTATGCCATTGTACTCCAACCTGTGCAACAGAGTGAGAACCCATCATTAAAAAAAAAAAAAAAATCACAGGTCAGAGATGCAAAGGATATTGGCCTGTTATATACACCCTCTGTTCTGCTTGAATTTGGGTAATTTTAAAATCCAATACATTTATTGTTTTTTATGAATATCCAAGTCAAAGACCGAAAGAAATTTAAATTTTATTTTTAGTTTAAATCATTGTTAGGAGGATGGGACTAAGGACCTTACTCTTAGGGTTTCAGTAGAAGCAAGCACAGAACACGACATCCCTGGAAAGCTGTGGAAGAGAAGGGAGAAGGTCTCTGTTCCTCTAGGGGGAATGTAGCTGGGTGTTAAGTTACTTTAGTTTAGTGAGAATCACCTGATTATCTGAAAGCCAAAGGAACAAAACTGAACCACAGTGAACAGTTTACATGTGCCTTGTTTAGCCTTAGAATACAAATTTAGCAAAAGGAATTTTTTTTAAAGCTCATTTTCTTATTTGTGGGCCTTCCCAGAAGTACTGCTTCATCAAACTCTTGGAGAGCTCATGGCGAGTCTTTGTCCAACACTGGGCAACTGTCTCATTTATTCCTACACATGAACTCACTCATTTATTCCACAAACATTTGTCCTGTGACCTTCTGTATGCCTGGACCCGGGATGGGTGGGGCAAGGGCTGTGGGTTGGTCTGACTTCTTTTGCCTGTGAGTGACCTTAGCCTAACCCAAACTGGCTTAAGTAAAAAAATAATTTATTGACTTATATAACGAAACACTTCAGTACGTGTTGGCTTCAGGCATGGTTGGTTCCAGGGGCACAAGGGGCAACAGCAGGACTTGGCCTCTCTTGCTGTCTCAGCTGTGCTTTCACTGCATAGCTTCTCTCCTGAGACCCCAGCCGTGATGGCCTCCAGCAGCTCCAGGTTTCCTAGCCACAGGGAGAGGGAGAGCCTTTTTCCCAACAGTCCCTGTAAAAGCCTTGAGTTGACTCTAATTTGATCCAGTTTGAGTCATGTGCCTTCACTTGATCGATTGGGAGGTGCCAGATGCTGATTGGTCAGTGCTTGGTCACATGGTCAAACCAGGCCATAAGAGAGCTGGCTGAGTCCCATCTGAATCACATGGATGAAGAATGAGGGGCAGGTAGTCTTGCAGAAGAACACTAGGGTACAGTGACCAGAAAAAGGGAGAGTGGATGCTGGCCATGCACAAACAACAGATGTCCAGCCGCTGGTGTAACAAAGATGAATAAAATACCTTTCTTGGGACCATAGAAACCTCCACGTGCACCTGGCGAGAGTGTGGACTGACAGCTGCCAGGTGGGAGAGCAACCTGGCAGCACTTTGCACCCACGTGCCCTATGCCCCAGCGCCTCCTCCCCTGGAGAAAGAAGAGGCGGTGACATGTGTGGAGGCAGCAGTGTGGGGACATCACTAGGACAGGGCTTTCGTAGAACGTGGTGAATGCTCAGAATGTGGGGAAGCAGCTAGAAGACATGGACTAGATGTGCAGACACAGGTGTGTTGGATCTTAAAACCAGCGAAAGAAGAAACCAAAGAAACTCTGTAACACAAGACTGTTTGTGTTGATGTTAAATATATGCCCGTCCTGTTAGTAATCAAGACAGCATTACCCTAGCAGGATTTGACTCAAAGGAAGCATACCGCTGCCCAATGAAAGATGACATTTCCCAGCTTTCTTTGCAGCTAGGTGTGGCCACGTGACAAGGTTCTGGCCAGTGGGTTGGGGCAGCAGTGGTGCATGCAACTTCCCGGACCAAGACCTTGAAAGGAAAGGAGGACGCCCTCCCTCTCTCTTCCTTTCATTCCCGCAGGAGCTGCAGCAGCCATCTTGCTCCTAAAGTGGACATCACATGTTAGGACAATGAGCAACAAGACAGAAGGAGCCTGGGGCCCAGCCAGGCACCAGGAAGCCACCCAAGCAGCTCTAGACTCCTCATAGATAGTGAGAAATAAAATCTGCTCTCCTTTGGTCTTTGTCTACCTGTGCAAACTATATACTAACTTATACAGTGCTTAAGAAGCTACTACTATTCTTATTTTCTCCTCAGTTATCATGATTATTATTTTATTGACCTAAAGCATTGCAATTCATTTCAGCAAATTCTTGCAGTGCTCTAACTAACGATGCAGGCTGTAACTCTGAGGGTTCTTTAGTCGCAAATGATGGAAACCATTTCTGGCTAAATAAAGCAAGGGAGGAATTTATTGGTAGAATATGGGGTGGCTTATTGACTCAAAGGAAAGGCCGAAGATCAAGGCTTCTGGAAGGCCAGGATCTGGAGCGAGTGCTGCAATCTAGGCGCCAGGAACTAATCAGCACTGGAGCAGTGGAGATTAATGGTGCTTTGTGGGGAAGAGTGGACAGGGAAGCAATGTTCGCACAAAAGCATCCGGCTTTGACATTTAAGCCGAGAACAGAGGAGGAGAAGGAAGTGGCCCTATAAAGATATTAGAGGAGAGTATTCCAAGCACAGTGCTCTTGGAAGGGAATCTTAGTTTGAGAAATGCAAGGGGAGCTAGATTGGTAGGCATATGATATGATATATACGATACAATGAAGGAGGCAGCACATGTTTGAGATGAAGTCAGAGGCAGGGAAGATCATGGAGGACTTTGGAGGCCATGGGAAAAGTTTGGGTTTTATTGTGGTTGTTAAGGAAAACAATGGCGAGTATTAAGGGTGGGCTGGCATGGCACGGTTTACTTTTTCAGATCTGCCCCACACCTGAGTGGAAAAGTGATTGCAGTGGGGCAAGGGTGGAGACAGAGACTGAGAGAAGGGGGCAGTGGTGGAGAGGGGCCTGGGGTGGGAGCCCACGGTGCCTGCTAATGGCCTGGATGCAGACTGAGAAGGAAAAGAGAACAAGAACCACTCCTGGCCGGGCGCGGTGGCTCACGCCTGTAATCCTAGCACTCTGGGAGGCCAAGGCGGGTGGATGCTTGAGGTCAGGAGTTTGAAACCAGCCTGAGCAAGAGTGAGACCTTGTCTCTACTAAAAATTAGCTGGATGTGGTGGTACGTACCTGTAGTCCCAGCTCCTCGGTAGGCTGAGGCAGGAGGATCTCTTGAGCCCAGGAGTTGGAGGTTGCAGTGAGCTATGATGATGCCCAAGCAACAGAGCAAGACTGTCTAAAAAAAAAAGAAAAAAAGTCTAGTCCAAGCCCTCAAACGTGCTGGACAGGCAAGCCCATGCCCCAGGGCCTTTGCTCTCAACCTGGAACATTCTTGCCCCAGATAGCTGCTTCTCTCTTTCCCTCTCCTTCAGGGTTTTGCTTAAATGCCAACTTCTCAGTGAGGTCCGCATTCCCCTGCCCATGTTTTTCCATTCACTCATGGCTCATTGGAGGGCAGGAGGGCACCCAGGAACACAGAGATTGGGGCTGTTCTGTTTATTTATCTGTCCCACACTAGAATAGCATTGGCCCACCCTAGGCTCTCAAAAACTGTCTCTTGGGGCCAGGCGCAGTGGCTCACGCCTGTAAGTAATCCTAGCACTCTAGGAGGCCGAGGTGGAAGGATCGCTCAAGGTCAGGAGTTCAAAACCAGCCTGAGCAAGAGACCCCGTCTCTACCAAAATAGAAAGTATCTGGACAACTAAAAATACATAGAAAAAATTAGCTGGGCATGGTGGCGCATGCCTGTAGTCCCAGCTACCTGGGAGGCTGAGGCAGGAGGATTGCTTGAGCCCAGGAGTTTGAGGTTGCTGTGAGCTGGGCTGACACCACGGCACTCTAGCCCGGGCAACAGTGAGACTGTCTTAGGAAAAAAAGAAAAAGATCTGTGGAATGAATAATGCATGACCAAATGAGCCGGATCACGAGGTAGGTGCCGGGGAACACGCGGGGCTTTCGTGACAACCCTGCGCGGTTTCGTCCTGAAAATTCCTCAGCAGAGCCTCTGGGAAGGTCAAAGGCGAGAGTCCGGATTGTTCTCGCCCGCCCTCGCCAGCCCGGCCCTCCGGGTCCCCAGGGCCCGGCCCGCCGCCCTTCCTGTGCATTCCTCGGCTCCCAGCGCCCCACCCGCTTTCAACACCCCAGCTCTGCCCGAGGAGCGACCGCCGGTCATAGTTTCCGCGTTAGTCACGCGGCCGAGCGCGCCGTGTCTCGCGCCCGCGCGGCCGGGCGGCGGGGCGCTGCGCTCCCGGGGGCCGCCAGGGGGCGCCGCGTCCCCGCCGAGCTGTGCGGCGCCGCCGGAAGGAAGCGCCCAGGCGAGGCCGCGGCTCTGGGCCTGTGCCCCGAGGGTGTGGGCGCGCTCGAGCAGGCGGCGGGGAGCGCGTTCTGGCGGCGAAGGTTCTCTCTTGCCTCTAGTTAAACCCATGTCCACACCCAGACTCTGGCCCCTCTGCAGTCGTGTGACCCTGGACAGTTCACTTCACCTGCGCGTCCCGGCTGTCCCGTCCACGAATGACAACACCGGGCCCCGCTGGACTGTGGTGGGGACGCGGTGAGGCGAAGCTCGCAGTGACCGAGCGCCCTCGGAACCCGGCCGAGCCCCTCAGTCCGCAGGTCCCGGCCCGGGTCTGAACACAGTTGCCCGGTTTGTGACCATTGGATCACACTCTTGTCCTCCACTCACGTTTCTGCACGACTGTCCATAAAAATACACGGTTTTCCCCAGGCTTTGGGTCTTCATTTCTGAAGGCTCCCATGTCACCTAAAACTTAAGTTAAATAAATTTGTGATGCTCTTTTCTTGTTAATCTGTCTTTGTTTATGGGTGTCAGCGTGAGCTTTGCAGTGGGTGAGAAAAAGATATTACTTTTTCTTCCCTACAGAAGAACTACGTGCTAGTTGGTAACTAAGTGCTAGTTGGTAACATGTGGAGTTGGAATTGAAAGAAATGTCTTGCCTGCAGAACTTCAACCCCTGGGTATGCTTGTGTGTGCATCCCTGAAGCTTTTCAGTTTTCCAGAACAGTGTCTCTCAATCCTGCCTGCACATTAGAATCAAATGCTTGGTCCTCTCCTCAGCCCAGTTATTCCAGAATTTCTGGAAGCATCTGTGCTTTTTAAAACTCCTCAGGATTATTGATGTCCAGCAAGGACTGAAGACCACTAGACCAGAAGAGCCTAACTTGCTGTCCGTAGCAAAACCTCCAAAGTCTGTGCAGTAGGGAAGGTGCTGGCATCAGAGACCCGGGTGCAGAGCCTGGCTTTGCTGTGAACAGCCCCTGGCACATGCACCTTCACCTCCTGGAGACTGGTCTCCTAATCTGTAGAATCAGAATTGCTACACTCGCTTCTCTGGGTCTGGAAGGATGAGAGGAGATAAGCTGCAGAAAGCCCCTGGGAGACAGCAGTCTCCCAGGCCAAGGTTACTTAACCATTTGCCATGTGCCAGGCACATTGCAGGTCTCTTTTTTTTTTTGAGACAGAGTCTCGCTTTGTTGCCCAGGCTAGAGTGAGTGCCGTGTCGTCAGCCTAGCTCACAGCAACCTCAAACTCCTGGGCTCAAGCGATCCTGCTGCCTCAGCCTCCACAGTAGCTGGGACTACAGGTATGTGCCACCATGCCCGGCTAATTTTTTCTATATATATTAGTTGGCCAATTAATTTCTTTCCATTTATAATAGAGACGGGGTCTCGCTCTTGCTCAGGCTGGTTTTGAACTCCTGACCTCGAGCAATCTGCCCGCCTCGCCTCACAGAGTGTTAGGATTACAGGAGTGAGCCACCGCACCCAGCCCGCAGGTCTCTTTATAAACAAGTATCTCACCTAGTCCTCACCAAGATCCCCCTTTCACAGCTAAAGACCCTGAGACTTGGGTACCTAAATGTCACTGGGTCTGGCCACCTCCTGGTCACTTACAGAGCCAGGACTCATCCACTGGCTCTGGACTGGAAAACTGGGCTGGGACCAGAGGTGCCAGCATTTAAGAAGACACTTGCCTTCTGGGCTATACAGGTGTAGGGTGACACCTGAGAGCCAGCACCTCCTTAAGTTCCTTCTAAGTCACTAGCATAGTTCTCATTCCAAAAGGACAGGAGCCAGGCCCAGGCAGGTTTGTTATAAAGGAATTAAAAGGAAAACTAGGACTAGAACCAGCCTCCTAGGTGCAGGGAGGATGGAGGAGAGGCCAGCAGAGCTCCCAGAGGCTGGCCCTGCCATTCAGAACCACAGGTTCATGGCGGGAGACCTGCTCTATGTTTTTTAAAACCAAGTTTTAAAAAACTTCCGGCTCAAGTCTGCCGCACTTGAAAAAACTTCTTTTAAAGAAATTTTTTACATGCAAAATCTGGATTTTCAGCCCTTCACAGCAAATTATAAGAGCGATCGGCCCGTGCAGTGGTTGCTATCGCTGTAATCCCTAGCACTCTGGGAGTACAAGGCAGGCGCCGATTGCCTCAAGGTCCGAGTTCTGAACCCAGCTACACAGAGCGAGACGTCTCTACTATATAGGAAATTAATCGGCAACTATACATACTAGACAGAAAAAATTAGCCGGCATGTGGCACATGCTAAAAACAATACAAAAGAAATCATAAAGAAGCTGGCCACATACGAGGCCACATTTTGAGGGGCAGCCAGCGGTTCCAGCTGAGTAGGGCGTAGCTTTAGTTTTAATTTAAGTGAGTCATTATCTCCCGCCTCCCTCGCCACTGGCCCAGTCAGCATTTTGGGTTGCTTGCCCTAGGCCGGCCTTCGCGAGGCTGCCTCCGAATCTTGGATGACGATCAAAGTGCAATGAGAAGCACATGGCAACGGTCTTTTCCAGCCGCACGAGAACCGCCTTGTCGAGGCTTGCTCTGACTGCAGCAGGGGCAGAAACGAGCGCTTGCAGCTGCGGGTGGGGACGGATGTGAGTGGACCAGGAAGGAAGGAGTTCCGTGGGGGGTGTACCGGACTCGCAGCTGGGAATACGTGCAGGGCACAATCCTAGCCCATAACAGTGGAGTAGATGAAACAGCGAGGGTAAGAAACATGGAACTGCTTGGGGGAAGGGGTGGATAGGGAGGATGGGAGCTATTTTACAA